TTTAGGCTACATGCATGGCTTTCTCACAAGTGAAGAAGCACATTTGCAGGTTGCCGCCACCTTGTTACCTAGCTTTCTTGCTGTCTGAAGAGCCTTCTCATTTCAGTTTGCCATATGGAGCTTGATGTGGTCGGAACTCCTTCAGTGATACCTGTAGGGTAATTCTATAGATCATGTTGCCCAGAACCTTATCATGACTGTCTCCAGGCTCAGGGCAGGCCTGGCTCACCCTCCTCTGTGCCTGCCGTGGGGTCCACCCCTCCGGCACCTCCCCAGGTCCTGATTCCCCCCAGAAGTCCCCTTTTAGAGGTGCTATCTGTCAGAAATGAGCAGTCTGTCATGTCTGTGTGATGTGCCAGCCAAGAAAACAAGCAGAACACATCAGGAGGTACAAGCTGGAAGGCGCAGTGTTTAAAGTGAGGTTAATTAACTGCTGGAATAACTTAGCTGTGGTGAATTTATTGCTGCGAGGAGTTTTCAGCTCCAGCTAAAGTTGCCTGATTGATGCAGGTATTTCTGGGTGAGAGTCGAGGGACTAAATTCAGAACCTAAATAGCGTTGTTTCCCTCTGGCCGTGGGCTCACTGGGGACCTTGGGGAGGCAGAGGCGGCCCTGTCAGAGAGGAAGGTGGGCAGAGGAATGCTGTGACAGTGACGTGTTAACGTGATTAATGACAGAACTTAATTTGCACGGACAGTTCATTCTGGCACAAAGGAGCGCAGCAGGCGGGGGCCTCGCAGGGGATCTGTCTAAGGGCCAGCATGGCTCCGGAGGAGGAAACAATGAGCGGGGTTCGGCGGAGCAGTCGGTGCAGGCTGTACGGATGGGATTTAATGAGGTTTCCCAGCAATGACACAAGTTGGAAGTGTTTAATAGCTCGCCGCTCAATTGCGCGTTGCGTCCTGGATCTGTCGCCAGGGGGCAGCAGCGCCACGCCGCAGGGCCGCCGGCCGCCTGCGGGTGCGTATCCCCCCGCGGAGTTCCGCGCCGGCTCCCCGTGCGCTTTACTACCGGTGAGCAAAGTTACTCACCACGGACTAAACGATTTGCGCACTCGCGAACCTGAACCTGCACTGAGCTGCCCAGGCCGAGTGTCACTGCTGAGGTGTCGGCCGTCCCTTGAGTGGCAGCGCCTGCCCTCCAGCCTGGGGTGAACTGCTTCTTGTGGGGAGGAAGGGTCTTTGCGGAGATATCGCTAATGCATACCCCAGTTATAATAACGTAGCCCTGAGATGGGGGGTGTGTGCTAGCTAACCGGTGTGCTACAGGTGGAAGTGCCCAAGCAGATGTTCACTCTACCTCTGTTCTGGATTTTTGCCTCTATTTCCCCTCAAACTCTGATAGCGGCACCTTTCAAACACACAGAGACCAGGCTAGATTTGGGGGTTTTGTTCTGCTTCTAAGGAATTGAAAATGTTGCTCTCTTTTCTCTCAGTTCCTTATTCAGTAGGACATAAGAGTTTATTAGGGCTGATGTTAAGCTTATTGGTGTACTATTTAGGCTATCATGGACTCACTGTAAACATCAGGGATGCTTTAGGTACTTGCCTTACATCACCAAGGGGACTTTCAGTGATGCAACCCATTATAAAAGCCAGGAAGACCTTATAACAGTCTTCCAATACCTAAAGGGGTCTACAAGAAAACTGGAGAGGTCTTTGGGCAAGAGCATGCAGTGACAGGTCAAGGGGGAATGGCTTTAAGCTGAAAGAGGGAAGGTTTAGATTAGGTATTGGGAAGAAGTTCTTCACTGTGAAGGTGGTGAGACTCTGGCACAGGGTGCCCAGAGAAGCTGTGGCTGCCCCATCCCTGGCAGTGTTCAAGGCCAGGTTGGACAGGGCTTGGAGCAACCTGGTGTAGTGTGAGGTGTCCCTGCCCATGCCAGGCGGTTGGGTCTGTATGATCTAAAGGCCCCTTCCAACCCAAATGTTGGGGTTCAACTTTCTGGCTGGCAAGTCACCCTGCAGATGATGTAGCATCTGCACTTGCTTCCTTCTTACCAATTGATTTACAGGAGAGGAGTCTCTTAACAGATGCACTGTCTTTAAGATAGGAACTATTGAGAATGGAGAAATTAAGGCCTTTTAAATATTAAATGGATGGAGATTTTCTAAATTATTTAATAGCTTGTAATAAAAGATGGCATAAAATGGCTTAGTGAGTTATTCTTTACAGAAAGTAGGCATAAGAAGTATTTTACAACATGTAAATATTGGTAGGAAAAGTACCTAATTAAAAATGCTACCTTATTCCATCTGTCAAAGGAATTATACACTCCCCGTACAATTTTCAGATGACTTTAGGCCTTTATTGTTTCTGTTCTCAAAACGCTTCTCTGGTGTAGGGAAATGCTGTTTATTCCTGTTTTACTGAAGTTCAGCAGCACAGAGACCACTTTGGGCTGGGAATGAGGTGCAGTATATCTGATCATGGCAATTGATCTTCAGGTACCAGAACCCATGGTCTTAGTTTGGGCACATGGATGCCCTAAATACTAACATAAGAGAGTTGTGTAGCCTCCAAGGCAAAGCAGGAGTTGTTCATGGCAAGGTCATGTGTAAATGCCTAAAGCAGATCCCTTCCTCTCTCCTGCTTCCTCTGTTTCTATAGCTTTGATAGAGGTGGAGATGGGGGTTCATTTGCCTCTTGGCCAGAGCTTGCTATATAAAAATGACCCCTTTCTTCACAAGACTGCTTTCCTTGGGTAACTTCTGTTCGAATCCCTCCTGTGTAAATTAACCCTGCTGCCCTGAAATCAAGGACTTCATCCACAAAAGTGCAGTCATATTGGCACCTCTTGGGAGGTGATGCTGAGTTTTATTATGTTGAAAGCGATGCTTGGTTTGCCTGCAGATGGCTAGAGGGAGGGCTGGTGCCTGCTTATGGGAGCATGCTACCCAGCACAGCTCCTGGCACAGAAGGTCAAGATTCATTTGCTTGTTTGTGCAGCCCTGCTTTCCAAAGCAATGCTGAGGTGAGATGAGGTAGGGATCAGCAGTAAAAGCACTGATCACAATATACACACAAAGCATGGTTTTGCCATGAGAAGCTTGAAATTCCTTTTACCATTATTAACCAGAACAGAAGCTTCTTGCTTCTGTTCTGATTTGCCTCCTTTATTGACGTAAAATGAGCTGAATCTCGAGAGTTCAGATTGCACTGAAGGAGTTGGCCTTACACTCCCCTCAAACAACCTTATTTTACTGAGAAATAATACTGCCAGGAAGGCATCAGAAAGCCCAAAGTATGCTGTATCATCTGCCACTTTTCCTGTGTCCATTTAGTTAGAAGGAGTTAGAATAATCAATACTTCCTTGTCTTTTACCAGTATTTAACATGTGTTTACAGACTGGGTCACGCTAAAGTCAGTAGTTACCTGTAGATGCATCTACGCAGTTGTTATTTTCCTCTGTAATAAAAATTATGGAAGAGACAAGCACTAAAACCTGAGTTAGTGTATTGCAATATTGATTTCTAAAAGAGCAATGTAAGATTATATTTATCTATCTGTCCTATTATGAAATGGGTAAAAATGTACCACACAACGTTTCAGTCATTCAATACTAGTCTGAAAAGCCTGTTTGTTTGATTTTTCTCAATAAGTTTTTTGAAGGACACTGATTATTTTATTTCTCATTGTGGAAGAAAGCATTAATATAGGAAGGTAGTGTCTTGTCTCGAGACATCTCTTTGCCCACATCTTGTTTGGATTAGAACTGCTGCGTTGCCATTTCAGTTCACTTTGAAACTTTCCACATTCAAAAGCAAAACCAGAGTAAAATGTGATGAATTATAGATTGCTGGCCTGGTACCTCTTTAATTCTAGCAATTGCTCTATCTTCTCATGGCGTTCTGAGCAGAAAGGAGCTGTTAAAGCCAGGTTAAACTGGGCTTTGAGAAACCCAGTCTAGCGGAAGGTGTCCCTGCCCATAGCAGGGGGGGTTGGAGCTGAGTGATTTTAAGGTCTGTTCCAGCCCAACCCATCCTGTGATTCTGTGAGTGTACTGAGCCAGGGGCTTTCCTGTTCTTAGCTTCTGAAAGGTGTCTGCCTACATGCTTTTATGACCCCAGAGATGCTTTGCCCTCCAATGTGATAGTGTAGTTTTGTGCTCCTGGAAAGCAATTTTCTAATTGATCATAGGGAGAGGGAAATGAAAAGAGTGGTGGAGAAGATGAGAAAAGGTTATTGTGATCATTCTGTAGGTGAAGACCGCATTATTATTGCTCTCACAAATTGCACTGTGTCACGTTTTCAATAGCAGAAGGTCAAGTTGAGCCCAGGGATAGAAATAAGAGAACAAATATAAACAATAAAAGCAACGAGACACAAATGTCTTTGAAATGGAGTGTTTGAGCTCATTATTCTGTGGAATGCGTGTCTGTACTGCTGCGGAAGTGTCTCCATGCAGTGATTTCAAAGTGTAGCTTCTGGGTATAGGTGGACTGGGTGTGAGATGTGGTGCTGGAAGCAAGTAGAGACAAAAGTGTCAGAGGGTGCAATAATGCACTGATCACACAGACATGATCTTATGGATGTGACTCTGCAGACCCTCTGCTCCTGAGGCAGCCAGACTCCAAGGGCCTTGGACAAATCTTTATGAAGACAGGGAAAGATTTCCCCCCATCTTTAATAATCTCTGGTTCAAACTGTTGGAGGTTTCACCTGGAAACCTGTTTGCACTATGGTGGTGTTTTAGATGTTGCAGCTTTCACAGCAGCTGGGTGGCAAGAGGGCACACGGGTATAAGGACACAGTAAACTGTGCACGATGCTTGTAATTTCTAGTATAGGGAAGTCTGCCTGTAGTTAATGTAGTTATATTTCAGAGCTGCCTTATTACGGTTTCTCTGTGTTCTTGGAAACAAGTGAAAAGAGCAGTATGACTGCTGCCTTGGATTGCACTGTAGATGGCACTGTGAAACAATGATTTTGGTAACAAAGATCTATTTCACAACGCTATTGAAGACGTTAATTGCACTGTAATATGGCTTTCTTTCTAGGTCCCCGAAGTGAAGGGAAAATTCTGAAATGCAGAAAAGTTTATTTGCTGCCGCAAATGGGAATCTGGAATAATTATGAAAAACACACTGAAGTAATTGTGTTTGACTGGAACAAAATTCTTGCAAAGTCCCCAAGGTAAGAGCACTTTTTATCTTTCAAATGACACTGAAGATTTGCTGTTCTGGTTAGCAACAATATCCACTTGAATCCAACAGAGAATGAAGGCTTGACATTTCTGGAAGCGGCAGCCCACTGACGCTGAAGGGCTCAGTACCCCTTGCTGCATCTCCCTGCCAGATTTCATCTTTCCCCTGCCTTTTTTAAGATCCTCTTGTATTTCTTTACATGAGTGGGCTGAACACTTGTTCCTTGTCTACCTGCAAGGCAGGCAAATGTAGCATTTTAATGGTACTGGAGGCTTTTAGCAGCCTTTCAGTTTGGATATAACTAAGTTGATGCTTTGTAGTGATACACTTATTCCTGGACTTGAATATACTTACAGAGGGATAAGGTTACCCTGTTAACATGATGAAACCTGGCTCCACATTCCCTGTCTAACATCAGGTCTATGGCTTCAAAATAATCAAACTCATAATCTGAGAAAGCTTTTGAAATCAGGTCATCAGACAGGCATTTCCACAGAGACCAGCTCTGCTCCTGCACTGGGAATGGTGGGAACACCTAGGTTCACTTGCATGTTGAACTAGCAGCTGTTGGGCATGTGCTGTGTGGTTCGGGACTAAATACCTGTCCCTCCCATCAACTCACATCAGAAATAGCATGTTCAGAATCAGTCTGATTTGTGGTATTTATTCCAAGGGTTAAATCCTGCTTTCAGTCACATCTTGGGAAACCTGGGGGAAGCTCCCTGTCTCCATTATGATACTATAGAGTGACATGAGAGCTGAGCTGTCCACTGATGTTTGGATCAGATTCCTGTGTTTGCTTTTAGAGCAACTGAGGGATGGTATTGCAAGATGAGCAGAGGGTGACTTCCTATTTAGTGGTAACTGGTGCAGCTGTGTGTTTCTCAGGGAGAAAGCAAGTAAAATAAGGTTAAATTCAGCTCTCTCCTCCAGAAATTAAGGTTCAGTAACCTGGAGAAGATCTGGGGGGCTAAAATCTGGTTGATTTCAGATCTTACTGGGAATTGTCCTTAGACTAGTATTGAATCAACAGCAATAACAACATTTATGCTGGTTTCACAGTGACTCAATCCCATTAGCTGCAGTAGCATTATGTGGTTCAGCTGGGTTCAAGAGGTGAATTAGGGTCCATGCTTATTAGCTGAAGTGTAGCTGCTCTGAATTAGCCCTGGAGTGCTTCATGGGACAATACTTGTAGAGTAGGCAAGGACCAGTGATGTCTTTATCTTCTGGGCTTGATTCATGCTTGCAGAAGATTCCTATGTACTGCTGCAAAAGAGCATCAGCATGTTTCTTCCTGTGCTGGCTCGTTTGCATTCAGGGTGGCAACGTACTGGGCTTGAAACAGAACACCTTAAAGCAAGAAAAGGTACCTTTTTCCAAGTCTTTCCTTAAAAGTGTCTTCTTTACATGCAATATTACTTTTTCTTAAAGCTGTTGACTTTTTTAGCAGTATTTGTTTAGCAATATTTGTATAGCTTCTTAAAAGATTTCATAGGCTGGAGTAAAGCCTATAAGGGCAGCTGAAGGTGCTGGGTTTTTCACCAGTGTATTTTTTTTCCCAGGTGTAAAATAATGTTTGTTGCTAAAGTATATTTGTGTTCAACAGGCTTTTGGTCTCAGCTTTTGATATTAATAAGTTTATTTGTGAATTGTTTGGGCTCTATCAGCATTCCTGTTCAGGCACAATGAAAGAACAAAATTGTTTTGTGATGTGTGAAACAGAAAATTATGCAAGCACTTTCAAATGAGAAAACATGATATCTGTTTTGGTTTTATTTGTAGACAGTTATCAGACTCAAAACAGGACCCAGGTGCTTCCTTGTCTTTGGCAATAGAGCTGTCTAAGGCATGGGGTTCGGTTCTTGTCTATCCCACGCTTGACTACTGGATTAGTTGAATAGTCTCAAGTATTTTAAAGATATACAGATAAATATATTATTGAGGAAACACATGGAAAATTCAGACCTGGAATCTGCAGGGGAAAGAAGATCCCAAAGGACTTTTTGGTGCAGATAAGCACACTTATGATAGGCTTACCCAAATCCCAGTGTGTTGATTAACAGCCCACTAACGTCACTGCTATGGAAGCAATATTTAGTTCAATTTATGCAAATCTATAAATTGCCTATAATTAATTTGATGTCTTCCTGCTTACAGCAGTTGCTGAAACTGTGGAATGTTCTATCTTGGGGTTCAACTGCATAATGCCTACTTATGTATCACACAAGTAATAAATCATCATAACTGAGTTTAAGAAATGATTAGATTACCTTTCTATATGATGAATGGTGTAACATAAACAATTGAGGGATTTAATTGTAGATATCTGCAGCAAAATGACTGAGGATTTGTGATCTTAGTTCTAACACTAACATGAATCAGACCAACAACATCCACCTCCTTTAGAGCAAATGTTTTCTGAGATGGTTTCTAACACCTTAAGTCCTCGCATGTTTGACTGAGGTGCTGGTTTCATGAGGGTTTAACCTTCAGCAAACTTATGAATCTCCAGGAAAATTAGCAGAAGTTGTGTGCTTGGGAGATCTAGCCAATTCATGGGCATGACTGTATGGGAGTTGGTAGCATTAGCAAATATATCCTGAGAAATATTAAGTAAAAACGACATTTTTCGGTGATGTTTCTATGATTTTGAGGGAGGTGGAGTTTAAAAATAGTAGCACAACTTATAAATATGTATAATTAGATTGGAGTGTGGATGGTTCTTAATCCTAAAAAACCCCAACCCCCTTATCTCAGATTCACAGAAATGCATTGCACTCATAATGTGTTGTTATAAATATGTGTTTGTGGGTAATATGATGTGTGACGGCCATTGCATTGCTTCTAATTATGAAACATGCTTACAAAGACTTGAACCCAACTAAACCATTAACATGATTTGGTCAGTGTTGACTTGTAATAAGCCACTTTATTTTTCCTTCAACATCTTCAGCTTTTCCTTCCCCACATCATTTTTATGTTATTCCCTACTCCACAATGTTCTTTCACTCAACTGCTTCCTTTTCTGCCTCCAGGATGAGATTCTGTGCCAAATCAATGCTTCTATCTGACTGGCTCTTTCTGGTCTATGTGTTAATGGTCTGCTGTAAATTGTTGTCCGCCTCTAGCCACCATCCACGGGGGCACACAGGTAGGAGATTTTAAACTCATTATGTGCTACTGAGACCAATTAATACTACTTGCAGAATGTTAGAGCCCACTTTTTTAGCAATGGATAATTGATGAGGCTGTTGACAGCATGTTATAATCAGTGCAATGGGTTAAAAATATATCAACAGCAAGAAAAGTATGAGTTATTGTAATTTTTCATGGGTTTTCTCAAGTAATTTTATGTACTGAATCTCACCAGACAGTCTTTGGAGTGACTTCATGTCTGCTAGGAATTTGGGATTTGTTTTGCTTTATTATTATCCAAAGATATTCTGAAATGCATCTTTGTCTTCTCTCTCCTAATCTGCTTATTATCAAGAGACTTTATAACAGTATCATTGGCTCTGGTAGGCAATAGATCAAAGTCCTCAGATTATGTTAGCCAGTTCATTCACTTAAATTTAAACACAGATACTGAAGTGTGGTTTAGTTCAGCTTGTGGTATGCTCCTTCTTTTCCCAGCTTGCCTAGTGAGGCAAACAGAAAGATAATTGCATTTAAGAGGATACCCTCTTGTAGTAGGGTATATCTATCAGGCACAATGTAGTACCTTCTCAGAAAAGGCAGAAATGGCTCAGAACAAGTTGGATTGGCTTCATGAAGTACCAGACTGGATCTTTGATATAACATCTCTGTGCTAGGGGGAATGGCTTTAAGATGAAAGAGGGTAGATTTAGATGAGATATAAGAAGTTATTTTCTGTGAGGGTGATGAGGCCCTGACACAGGTTGCCCAAAGAAGCTGTGGCTGCCCCATCCCTGGCAGCATTCAAGGGGCTTGGCACAACCTGATCTAGTGAAAGGTGCCCCTGCAGGGCAGGGGGTCTGGACTAGATAATCTTTCAAGGTCCCTTCTGACCCAAATCATTCTATAATGCCTTAGATCTACATGCAGTGTTCTTAGCTCTGTGCCAGACTCCCATGTGTCCGGGTTTAATGTTAGCATCCACTTCAGCTCAGCACTAGGAAGTGGGGATGCATTTGTTAGAGGCTCCATCCTCCAGATGAGACAGCCTATTGATCACTTTCCTGGCTGCTTCCTGTGATCATCAGAGGCAGGAGCTGAAGTCTCCTTATTTGGGGACCAAAATCTCTAACATCCTGGCAAGGAGGATTGACTGTGACCTGCATATAGCTGCTGTGTCTGTCTACATGCCCATCAGCAGTGTGTGTTCCTAAGAGCTACACAAACCAGCTCCTTGCCTTATCCATCACCAGCTCTGTGTTCCCTGGTGCTGTGCAGCACTCATGCGTTTGCCATAAGACACAGTCACAGGTTACGGAGAATAGCTGGCATTGCTTTAAAAGCCCACAAAGTAACTTCAGAGAATACAGTGTTAGAAGATGATCCATGTTATTGCTTTGCAGGTAGCTGTTATGGAAACTAGTTGAACCACTTCAATGAGGAAGGGGGCCTGTGCACAATGACAAGTTAATTAGGCCCTCTTGACCTTTCCTGTAAACAGCTGCTGCGCAGTAGGTCATTTCAGAGCCGACTACACAGCAAAACCTGCAGAACAGCTTCTGCAGCTTTTGTCTTTCAGGGAAGAGTCTTGTAGAAAGAAATGTTATTTTTGTCTTTTAAAAATGGACTTAGCATGTGTACGGAAGGAAAATACCCGTAACGAGGCAGTAGTGATGCTGTGTTGTAGGCTTGTAGGATGAACAATCTTTGTGTGTTATGTAAATCATGGCAGTCGTTTTAACATAACATTTTGGAATGCTTGGTTGCATAGTTTTAATTGACACTAAGAATTCTTTCCCCCATATTAAAGAAGTACTCAGGTTTGACTGTAGGACGCAAGCTGCTTGACTGTTAAGCAGATTTAAGTACTGTGTTTTCTCTGGTAGGCTAAAGAAAGAGTCTGCTTTTCATTAATAGTTTGGTCATAGATTATGGAACTCTTTTTCAAATAGATACTCTTGAAGCTGGGACATTCATGCATCTTTTTAGACTTCAGTATCATATTCTTCCCCAAACACGAGCTTTTCTTATGCATACATGGAAGCAATCCCATCCCACTTTATTATTTCATGTAGGAATGAAAAAGTCACCCCATTTTTTGATCCTCCAGCTCCCCATGTCTGTCCTATGGCATCATAGATCATTCAGAAGGCTTTGGGGGCTCTCCTCAAGGGGCTTGTGTTTCCCAGCATCATTTTGTCTTTGCTGTTTGATATACCACCCAGATTGACCGCCTAATGTACGATCAGATGGAATCTGATATGTGAGCAAGACAGTGTCTTGTTCGCCAGGAAAGCAAATAATTTAGCTGCTTTATTCAGCCAGTTTTGTGGAAAGCAAATAATTAGCCTCCTTTGTTTAATACAAATTAGCATGTTCTTGGATGGCAATTGAGATAACATTCTTCCATTCAATAAACAACATGAATATTTTTCAAAGTAAAATGTCCTGAAGCACATCAGGGGGATGAATTCAAGCTTTGGGTTTAGCAAAGCCTTTGTCTGGTGTCCCTTAGGTCAAGTAGCTGTAACCTGACAGGAGTGTACTGAGGTGGGAAATATGAGCTGTTTATGAGACTGGGATCCTTCAGGAGGGTCTGGGTTTTAAGAACATATTGTGTCTGCTCCCGAAAATGAGTGTGTTTCAAGCTATGTACTTGCCATCACTAGTGGCTTTTGAAAAAGTGCTTACTCATCAAGGCTAAAGAAGTTTATTAACTAAGAGCAGGCAATAGAATTTAAGAAGTGCAGATTGACTTCTTTCTTTTCAAAATGCTGCCATTTTTAAGGACCCTAATCTGGGAAAAGACAGTTATTGACTTTGGTCATGTTACATGGTGCCTGAAAGAATGACATTCGACAGCTGTCTCTGCAATATTCAGGCAGGAACAGAGACTAGATCTTTAAGGACCCAATAACCATTCTGTTTCTGAAAAGTGGGAGAGAATGTCACCGAGCAATCACTTTGACAAAAAAGGGCCTCTCCACTGTAATAGTGTAAGACAGAGCTGGCTCCTTCTTTTGTTCTGCAAAATATTCTCCACCATCTAATAACTGTTAGTGAAGAGACTGTTCAATCTAGCAAGCCGATCCAGCCATTGCTTTGAAGCAGTTTGGATCTTGAGCCCAGCTTGGAGGCCACAGTCTGTTTTTCATTTGAACACTGTAATTGCTTTGACTGGCAAAGTTAACTAGGCAAAAGGTAGAAGAGAAATGTTCCTTCTCATTACCATTAGCTCACTGAAGATGCTGCTCATGCAGATTATTTCAGCAGGCTTCCTGTATGTCTATGTAGAGAAGACACGTCAGAATATTCATCTGACTTTGTGGCTCTGAATTACCCTTATAAAGAGTTTGTCTTTTGCACTGACAGTAACTGAGAGAAGCATAAGCACCAGCCTTACTATGGCTATTTAAAATTGGGCAGTATTTCAGGCTCCCAGAGCACCTAACTGATACCAATATAACTATCAATTCCATGCTGTGCTGAATGAAGCAACATACATTTAGTAACAGAGGAGATTTGTTTCCACCTCACTGCTATAAGTCAGGATCCACACATGATGAAGCATTGAAAAGACACTTCCTCAGGTCACCTTACAGCAGGACTGGACTTGCAGACCATTAATTGGCATAGCCAGCTGAGCAGTTTCTATCACGAATTAACAGTGCAGCTTGGCTTTTCTGAGACTGCTGTGTTTTATGTGATGATGCTCACCTGAAATGCTGCCAGCCTCCTTCTACTTGCTGAAGGTTCTAGATTTTTTGAAAGCCCATTATTACTAATATGCCTGGAATCCATGTCTTTAACGAGCATCCATCTGTAGTTTTAAGCAGGGCCAAAGTTGTCTCTGAATTGTTTTACTCAGTTCAAGTTATATTTTTTCTTTGTGATTTCAAGTGAAGACATTGGTGATAATGTAGCTGGTAGCAATTTGCTTTATTGCTGCACCTGCAGGACAGTGCAGATCATAGGGAGAAATCACTGTCTGTGTTTGAGTGCACTGGGACAGCTTGCTTTTCTGGCCAATCAGAGGAGTAAGTAGCTACTTCTTTTCATGGAATTTATTCCTTGTTTCGCTGCAAGACTGTTTTATTTACAGAGTTGTTGGAGGTTAAACGGCACAAGTCTTGTTAAAAATGGCAGTGGCAAGCAAATATGCATGACTAGAGACTGGGAAGTGTGTTTGGGAGGAAATTGTCACCAGCCTGAGCTGTTGTAAACTCTATGTCTTTGCGTAGTGAAATCCAGCTGAAAGTGCAATTTGCTGCCTGGCATTTTAGATGTGATCTCCAGCAACCAGAATGCTGCCCTAACTGGTTTTCAGAGGACCAGTGATTTCCACCACCTGTGAAAGGCAAGCTGCTTTTGTAGATTCTGCTGAGCAGGGCCTGAAGTGAGACCTGAGATAATTTTCTGGGATTCCATGAATGTTCTCCTTCGTTTTCTTCTGATGGATGCTTGAACAGGGAGAGACACGTATTGAAAGACTTGGCTTGTGTGAGAGCAACCTCAGCGAATAATGCAGCAGTGCACTTGATGCAGAAGACAAAGCCTCTCCTCGCTTCTGTTCCCTTTCTGCCCTGGCTATGGCTCACAGAAAGCAATCTTTTTCAGAACATGTCTGTCTCTTTTGTTTTTGTCCTTCTTTGGTTGCTAATGGAAGAGGTGCTAATCTAACATATCAGAGGGATGGGCAAAGTCACTTGTTTGTCATAAGAAATAGACCTCTTGTCATTTGGTAGCAGTAAGTATTGTATGTACGTGGACCTGAGGCCAAGATCTATCCTTGATAGATCCACACCGGACCTGCTGAAGGCAGTACAGAGGCTATGTGTTGAATGAGGTGGTTAGTAATTCTTTTCTGTGTCCCAAATGGCACAGAGAAGTCAGTACTTTGAGGAGTGGAAGAATCACCCCCTAAACCTTCATACCACACTGGGAAAGTACATATTTCTCAGATAGTCTTTTTGTCAATCCTCCAGGATACAGGGGAGGACCTAAAAAAAGCTAGGA